CCGTGATGATCTGTTCCGCTCGGATAATATACTCCTTCATCGTCTCGTTGACCGTCTTCTTCAGCGCGGTTAACGTCGTGTACAGAGTTACAATCCGTGGTCTGCCTCTACCGATAAAGTGTTCTCTCAAAACTTTGAGACTTTCTCGGCCTTGGTCCTTAGTGTCTCTGAATATAAGTCCAAGACTAGTATTATCGAGAAGTGGAGCCAACGCACAATATGCGTCCTCGTTCAGCTTCTCGTCCGCGATCCGCTCCTCCGCGGTCCGGTCTCCCGTAGGTGCTCGTAGGATCGTTTCTTTCAATCCTACTCCATGCATACAGCACAGCATCCTTTCCTCCCAGAGCTCGTATTCCTCTGCGTTCCCGTTGAACGAGGGCCATTTACTTCTGTGGGAGTTTGCCATGTCTTTCTGTGTTGTCGCTCCCGGTAGCTCAGCTTAGCGCCCTGTTAGCTTAGCTTTAGCTTCCCTGCTAAACTTAGCTTTAACACGCGGCTGCTAACTAGCACTCTTAGCGCGTACTCCCGAACTTGAGAATCATTCGTCGTTATCTGGGCCCATAACCTGTTAGCAGATTTAGACTTAAACCTTTTGTCTCCTGCAGCAGAAAGGTGAATAATCTCAGTCGTTCAAGTTTAGCCATTCATCACGGCGTTATTTATTTTAGGCACACATCTCAAGAGGCTTGAGGAGAGACAGAGAAGGGGCGTGACTTCCAACGGTCTTATACCCTAGGTAGTGACATCATCAATCATGTGGTACAGCAGCTAACCAATGAACACAGTTAGTAGTCGCAGCTACTTACATAGACAATGTGGTGCACAGTAATAATATAAGTCATATACAATATACATATATCTATGTCATATTCTAACAATTTCTTTTAGCGATATGTCAGATGGATGAGACTTCAACTTTAACTTAGTCAATATCGTTAGTAAAGATATTACCTTAGTAATATGGCCTTCACATTTTGAGTTTTTCTTTGTCTTGGAGTTATTTGGTTTATTTTTCTATTTTGATGTCGTTAAAGTTGGTTAGTCAAACATGCTTATAGGGGAACTGGCATTAAGGCAGAAAAACATAATGTTTAATTCATTTATTCTACTTTTGATCGAGTATCTAAAAGAGTGTTAATGAGACACCACGCTCCAAAGTACCTTGTATTTTCGAACAGCACCATAAACTCAGTTCTACCGTTGGACAGGCCTAGTGTCGTTCACTGATGTTTATGATACATAATCAATCCGTCTGAGGTTGACCACTCTATATTCATCTTTAACAGTAGGACTAACAATATTGGTTAGATGCTTTATGCAGTATATCGGCAGTTTGTATTGAAAAATGATCTTTTGCATGCAATTATTTATCATATTATAGATCTGAGAATGTGATTAATGTGTGGATGCAGATAGTATACTGTAGGTGTCTGCAGCTGTAGTGCTTGGTGACGAAGATAAGATACCCACTGAACACTTACTCATATAATCATTTTCATGTCTTGGTATTTGACCAACAATTTAAACAAAACTAAGCTTCAACATTCCGTTATCTAGAGAGTAGAGACTGTAAACATTAGCTGTAAAGTCGATTCCAAAAACAAGGTGTTTTTGTTCCAGCTCCTCTTATCAAATCAAATCAAATCAAAGTTTATTTACAAAGCACATTTAAAATTCGATTTTTGGTCGGGCCAAAGTGCTATACATGTAATAAATACTACAATCACATAAAAACACATTACTACAATCACAATAAATTACAACAGAAATATAAAAAACACAGGGAAAAGTCAGGAGTCGTGAGACAGATAGTGGGTATCTATGTGATTGAAGTATCTTACAAACAGCCAGCAGCTGCTGTGTTTCTTCACTGTAGCTGAACTCTGACATCCCAGCTCATGGGGGCAAGAAAAAGGTGAATGTCTCCTTTGAAAAAATACATACAAGTCCTCTCATGACCTCCTGAAATCTTCTCATTACAAGTTTGGAGTCGTCTCGCCCAGACTGTGACTCATTGGTAGAGCAATTTTCTACAGTAAATCAACAATCAGGAAATAAATATATGTGAGATTAGAAGTGAGGATGTCTCATCGCATCCTGAATTCATTTATATCTGGATTTATCAAATCGTTTTTCATCAATGGTTTTTTCTTGAATTGGCTTTCTGGAATAACATAGCGGTGTTGAACAGAGAAATACTGCATGTTTTTCACTTTTGCTACTTAGTGTAGTCGTTTATATGTTATGTTTTTATACATTCATTTTTCAGAAAAGGTTATGCTATTGAAATCAGACATGCAGAGTGCACTCAGAAAGTAGAAAAGACTAGTCTGTGTAAAGGGAACAGTATGTACCACCACTCACTATTCAATGCGATATTTCCTTTTCCTTTTCAACATAACAAAATATGAAAACAGTGAAGGCTACTGAATATTTTTGAATGCACTCTATTTAAAAAGCAGTTTGTTATTTAAATATCTGTAATAAACCATTTTGAATGGAGCTTAATTTGGATACAAAATAAACTCATAGTGCAGTAACTTTTAATAAGCAGATTCAGCCTTTTCATAAACCTAAATCTTGAAACCGCTGGAACTTACTGAGAGTCACAACATGTCATGTACTGTATGTAGACTTCTCTAGGTATCGGGAAATAAGAATAATGCAATTAGTTATTTTCAGGAAAGCTTGAGCCATCCAACAGTTTTATTAAAATGCATTTTTTAAGGTAATTGAAATCCAATTATAACCTAATTAGGCCCCCAAAGATTTTAAAAACATAAAAACACTTCAGTATCTAACTAAAAGGACATCGCAGATGATGCAGTGTGGTGTTGTGTCTGTACTCCCTGTGAGATGTGTTGTCAAGGTTGCTCAACCACAGCACAGCACTCAGCAGTCTGGAAAGCCCTGCTCTGGAAGATGGTGTGTGACATTTATTGGACGCAGTCAGACTGAACTTGCTCTGTATGACCTTGGGTCCACTTCTCTCAGCACTCACTGTAATATTTCACTTTTTTTTCTTTGCTTACCTCTTACAGGAGTGCATGAAGAGAGAAAGCCAGACAGCTGCAGCCGCTCATGTTGTTTGGAGTTCTCGTTCTGAAAGGCAGCTGCAGATGTGTCTGTCTGGGATCTTGTGTGCATGGCTGTGATGCTACTGAAATATCCAGACAAAGACAAATGTCACATTTGATTGTTGACAGCAGTGTTTATCAGAGGCCTAATTGTGGTCTAATAGCTTCAGGATTCAGGAAGTGGGATAATGGAGTTAGGCTGGTGATGGATGCACTTCTATCAGTCTGCTTTACTGTAGAAAAAGCACTCTCTCTGCCACAGTTTGTGGACTTCACAATGTGTTTCCATAATGACCAGTCAATGCCATTATCCTCAATCAGCACAGACCTCTAACTCTACACTCAGAGGAAACTCCTACACCACACCCAGTGGACATAAACACCTTGTTGTCATGGCCTCAAAACATCCTCTTTATTTCATGGGCAGTCCTATTAGAGAAGTAACTGTTCATAACTTTGGATTGCTGCAAAAATGTCCAATGCAACAACTCCCAAAGAACTGTGTGTGTGTGTGTGGTGTGTGTGTGTGTGTGTGTGTGTGTGTGTGTGTGTGTGTGTGTGTGTGTGTGTGTGTGTGTGTGTGTGTTCACAGTTTGATTATCTCTCTTAAATCTCTCCAAACAGTATCCTCTTAGTATGTAGCTGACAATATCAGCTATACTTTTCTGTCCTCTGTCTCAAGTATTTTTGACATTGCTGATCAGCTTTCATTTGAACCAAACCCAACTTTTTTTATTCATGCTTTATGCTGATAACTGCAACCTAAGGTATACATTTTTCATGTTTTACAACCATTTTCTGGCCTGAACGGGCTGATTATTATCATGAGAAATAGGCCAAACCTATTTATTTATGTACTATCACAAACTTCTACATCATCCACAACCCAATCTATGTTGTAAAACACAGAAAATCCTCACAAACGATAATTTGGAACTACATATTGTTTGTTATACAATCTTTATTCACAAATCACGGCAAACACATATAAATGCAGGATGTCAGAAAATGTACTTCAGTGTTACGGCCCGTCTACACAGGGGCGTGCATTGAAAGCTTCACCATTCACTTTGAATGGGGTGACGCCACTTTTTGCCGAACTGCATTGTGGGAAGCGACGCGGAGCTTTGCTGGCGTGGTTCGCTGTAAAAGTTGAGCAATGTTCAACTTTTTACAGCCTCGGCAGAAGCGTCAGCCAATCGAATCATATGCCAGTAAAAGCTCTAGCCAATCAAACCGCTGCTTGTGTGTCAGGGGCGGGAGAATCATGTGATTGGTTGTTGGTCGAGTTTCAGACACGCCCGCCGGCAAGCTTCAACGCACGCCACTGTGTAGACGGGCCGTTACCCCCACCACCTCATAAACCAAATCTACGCACTTTATGTGGCATATATATTCATGTCCGTACTCCACTGTGTGTCATTGCTATTGTCTTCATCTTCTACTGTATGTATGTGTCTGCATCATTTTTGTTTGTTTGTGCGCCTAGTGGAGCATCTACCTCTCGTGCCTGTGTGTTTTGGCATTGTAAGGATCAGATTATTCCAAATCTCTCTCATCTCTCTGTCAGCGTCATAACCTGCTTTATCTACTCACTCTGCCTTTTAAACATGTTTTGTCTCTGAAATAAAGGCAGATGGCAGCGCTGCCCAAAACGGGATAATAATGATGTGGAAACGAACTGCAGCGGCACTTCCTGCTCAGGCCGGCAGGTTTAGCAGTGTGCTGTGATGGCTGATATTTTGTGAATTAGGGTCTGGGCGGAGGGTTTATCTATTGGGACTATGAGGCAGTGTAATCCCAAGCATCATTACATCATAAACAACCCACCCATCATTCATCCATATTTCCAAGGTCTTTTGGGTAACATCCTGTCTGTCCTGATAATTTGAGAGATTGAAGTTCCTGCAGGGATGCATCACGATGAGTGGTGGGATTAATGGATTTCAGATTGATTGGGGATGTCAGTGGTTTACAGAAGATTAAGTAAATGCATCCTGCATCTCATTCTTTTGTTTTCCCATTAGCCAGAACATTGTATTCTCTCTGAAAAATGGATTATATCTTAACATCCGGATCACCAGGCACCACGTGGACCTCTTAACTCGCAACTGGAGAGCAAACTCATCGATTCTCAGCAATAAACAAAGTGAAGCATGCAGGGAATTGAGGCTTCTTAAAATGTATTATGATTATAAAAATAAGTTCAGTTACTCAAGACAACTAAAGCAGATCCTGAATCTGAAGTACAATCAATCACATTGTATTTATAAAGCCCTATATTGCAAATTACACATTTGTCTCAGGGGGTGTACAGCACATAACACCCTCTGTTAATAGAAACAGCTCCACTTATGTGTTTCTCCCTCTCTCTTTTCCACCAGTTCGCTACCTACTGAAGAAAAACTTGAGTCCAGACCTCTGCAATGAAGACGGCCTCACCGCTCTGCACCAGGTAACCATGTCTGATTCTTTCTCCTCCGGTTTGTCTTACTATCTGTTTGATTTCTTCAAAATGGTGGCACAGGTGGCACCATCTCAACAAAAACAAATATGATGCCTTAGTAGAAACACCATCAGGTGGTTGTAATCTCTACTAACCATCAATTTGACGGTTAGATCCTGGGCTTCTTATTTCCATATTATGCTGTTCTTGCAAAACAATAACCCTGTAATGTGCTCCTAAAAGTTAGGTCAACTTTATTTCTGAATGATTAGGCAGAGAGCATTGGCAGCATTTAGTACCCTTCTCTCTTCCACCAATATGATGTCCTTTTATAATTTAAATAAAGGCATTTATTTAAAAATGCTATCACCCTTTTCAGTGAAGCTTTGTGTGCATCATAACACAGTCTACACTGCCACTTACTGTGAGTCCCACAGTGACTGGAACATATGCTGGCTTCCCTTGGGCAGAAATAAAATTAATGTTGTCTGTTATTTTCAGGAAACCTTGTGCATGATACTTCCCCTTAAATTACATTTCATTTAAATGCCTTTTTAAATCCAATTTACATTAAGTGATAATCTCCTTAGGCAGCTAAACATGGCCTTTTAAAATTTGTGAACACAATGTCTTATACATTATCATAAAACACCAAAGGACAACATTAAGACACTGCTTTTCCAGGATTATTATTTATATCTCAGGCTCTATTCTAAGTAACTGAATAATTTAAATATGCTATTTGAATAATAAGCTTAGGCTTTATGCAGCCTTTTATTAAACATAATTGGTTTCTGTTTAAGTCTGATAAATAACATATTGGTTTTCTTGTAGAGAGAACACCAAACAAAGATTGACACATGACTGGATTTTAATATTTAAATTACATTTCATATAAAGTACTGAAGACTTAACTTTGTATATATTGTTAAAATGAATTTACCTATGTGTTTGATGTATTCTTATGTTTGTTATTACCTGGATTTTCTTCTGGAGCAGGGACTCTTTTCTGAATCAAGTAACCTTTACCATTTAGTCTTTGTTGAAATATAATTAAATAATTTCACGGTGGGATTAGTTTGCAGCTGTAGGAATTAAAGTCCCTTCTGCATAATAGTGTTGAGGCTTTCTGACACTGTGACACATGCTTTTTACTAGTGAGGAAATGAGTTCAGTATTAGGGAAATTAGTCAATTTTGATGCAGGAAACTGATCAGGAGATCAGGCCTATTTTCACTTGCTAATTAGAGCCATTACTAACATGCATAATAGTCAGAGCTTCCACCTCATCCGAATCAATGCTCCACATCACCTCTGGCTCCAAACTGCTCAATCGTCTGTGTAAATAATGAATCATTACATGTCTCATTTAATCACAAAGCAGCCTTCTGCGTAGTAAAGTTGTCTTTCATTTCCCTGACTTCTAGCCTTTTGATTTTATTGCAGTGTAGCCAATATGTGTACAAACATTTGATATGTATATATCAAAATAAATATATAAGACTAGCTAATTTGAAATAACATCGTACGACCAGTAAACTCAAATCCTTGAAACCGTCTGACAAAGATAGTCTTTGACTCTGTCTGAGCCCACTAGTAGTCAGTCTTTAGTAGAGAATAGTTTTCAATGAATTCTGGCAAAAAAATACTTAGGAAAAGGGTTGCCGTATCATCCATCTAGAGAACATTTGCCTTCAGGAAGAATTTCAACATTTAACAAGGACATTTAACAGTTAAAAGTTCATTCTCAGCTACAAACAAGTGAGGCATGCACTGAAGTTAGGCTTCTTAATATATATTCATCTGTAAAAGGAAATAGTTATTCAAGACAAATAGAGCAGGAACTATATCAATCAATCAATCAATCAATCAATCAATCAATCAATCAATCAATCACATTATTTATATAGCCCAATATCATAATTACACATTTGTCTCAGAGGGCTTTACAGCATATGAGAGTCAAATAAAACTGTTTTCCAGATATTTTAGACTTTCACCTTCACTAATGTGTTTCTACATCTCTCAGCCTGAAGTGCAGGAGTCCCAAAGACTTTCAATAGTATGAGCTATCAGTGCGTTGCAGACCTGCAGCAGCTGATATACTTTGTCTTGTTAATGTTGCAGGACTGGCTGTATTTCTGCCAACTCATCAGTCAGACTCAGGATAGTTTCTTTGGACAAATTTAAACGACTGACCATGTCTTCACTGCTGTGCAATTCTACTGCACCCTTTAAAAACGTTTCCACGTGTCCTTCATTGCTCCACTAATTGATAGCACACATTATCCATGCTGGTTAACCTTTAAGGCTTAAAAAAAGGTCTAGCTGTATGATACAAATGTACAAACTAAAAAAGTTATGAAATAAAATACCAAGATTGGCCTGAACAATACAGACAAATCTCAAAAATCTGTGTAAAATCAGCACCTTCACTCATCTCCATATAGCAATAGCCAGAAAAGATTGAGTATGCTCGGAGATGATAAAAAAACAGATTAGGGCAATAACAAGCTTGATCCATTTTGTTTGTTCTTCGTACATGGAAATTGCTGGACAAAAACGATAAGATGTTTACTGTGTAGAAAAACACAAGTTTTCTTAAACCCTGATGTTACACTCCGAGTTAAAATAAAAACAAATCAAAAGCCTTCTTGAAGGGTGGCAACCTAAAGCATTTCAAAGGTGGGGATGCTCATTTATTACCTCAGTTTCTTCTCCGTTTTTCATCATCTCGTCTCATTGCGCTCCCTGTACGTTTCCTATACCTCTGACAGTTTATGTCCTCTCTTTCCGCTGCACAGCCGGCTCTCTTTCCCCCTCGGCTGCTCAAGCCTAATTCTCTGGCACCTGCTGGGGGGCAGTGAAATGAACAACGGGAAGAGAAAATTGAAGTCCATCAGTCACCACTGTCTGGTGTAGTAAAAGCTGTGGGCTGTTGGCTTCTGAGATACCAGAATGACCTTTCCTTTGAGTTTGTGTGTACCCGATAATCTGTTATTTGGACCGGTCAGCCGGCACACTGTCTTCAAGATGAGAAATACATGGAAATAGGGACACAATACAGACAGAAATACAGATGGAGAATTTATACACACACACACACACACACACACACACACACACACACACACACACACACACACACACACACACACACACACACACACACACACACACACACACACACACAGATAAATGAAAGGAAGTGGTGGTGATGTTTCTTTAAATGAGATGTCATACCTATCTAAGGTTAGTCTCACCTCTCTGATAGAAGACATTAATCAATAGGTGGCTTTCAGGGATGCTGTATGTGCCAGAAAACACACACAGTCACACACACACAGACACACACACACACACACACACACACACACACACACACACACACACACACACACACACACACACACACCTATACAGCCTCAGTTCGGATAGAGAATGTATACTTTTATGCTTTAGCTACGCTGCTTGATCACATGATGGGAATATGTAAAGAATGAATTACAGAACTTTTCTGTTCAGTGACAAAGGTATGCATTCATGTGTGTGTTTGGATGAATGTGTGTAAGGCCATGGGTCAGACCATCATAAGTACTGTATCAAAAATACAATCTCATCATTCATTTCAATTTCTTAGGGTCTTCTTAGCAAAAAAGCAGCATTGAACAGCAAGAAGGCGGGAACAGATTCAGCTTCTGCAGCAGACTAGTGCAATGTCATACTGTGTAAACCTGTTGGATATATTCAAGCACACATTGCTGATAATTGTAAAACATAAATATCTAATTCCTGTTGAACATGCTGTCCTCCAAAATTAGAATTTAATTATTTTTTCCCTGATAAATGTAGTTTTCTTTTAGCTGTAATATTCTAACTGTCAAAATAATAAATCAGTATGCACTGCTTTGGCAATCTGATAAACGCCAAACTCATCAAGGTTTTACTCAAATCATGTTTTCGAGTTCAATACATGAATCAGATATAGGTTTTTCCATAAGACAGAATGGAAAGATACATTAAGTTTATTTTGATTACATGTTGGACTTTTTTGCAAAATCTAACAAACTACTTTTACATCTATTCTACTTCTATGTATCTGAAAGGCGCAGAATACATTAACATCTTGCTGTGCAAGCCCTCCTTAAAAAGATCATTAGCTCCACTATCTACCTCCACATACATTGTCATTTCCAATGGCTGTTTCACAATAAAAGCCCCTCGCTGGTTGACAGCTTTTAATGTGAAGCAGCAGGTGAAGTTTGGTTTGTATTTTGAGTAACTGAACATTTAACATTGTAAAACTGCATGAACTGTGAACCAAACACAGATGACCCTGGTTGATCGTAACATGCTTTATGAGCTGATTTAGAACTGGCAACACAATAGGAATAACTGTATAACACTACAGCTACTTTTACCATATTATTCTCATCTGTATTGGCAGTAACTCACACAACAATGTTACCCCATTGGCTTTTTTAACACTGAGCTTGGTCTGAATACCCATCAAGGTGGAGGGAGATGGTGTCCTTTCCAGCAGATCCTCAACCAAACCTGTGTCATGCTGTCTCATCATTAGACATTCATATTTAAAAACATTTTACTAGAGTTATTCATCCAATCAAATATTTATGTGAAGATGACGGGTACAGAGACTACTGAGATGGGCTTTTAAGTTGTTCTGTAATGAGATCATCTGCAAGATTTCAGAAGTGAAGTTATTAGACAGCCCCCTTGTGTGGTCCCAGACTTTTCGTCAGGCATTCAGATCATCGTTACTTCACCCTTTGAGGACTTTAAACTCAGATCCCTAAAATCCGTATATTAATCCTGGAACTGAAATTGTAGTTTGATGTACTTTTTTAAAGTGTTTCACATAACACAGACATAGGTGAAGTCTATACCCATCCCACATTCCCCAAGCTTTTACTAACATTAACACATATTTAGACAGACAAAGACGGTAATGTACAGACAGGCGGAGATATTGTCCAAAGCCAAATAAT